ACTTAAATCTCTTCAAAAACAGAGAAAAATTTGTGTTCCCCTTTTTTTTTTTTTTTTTTTTTTTTTTTTTTTGCTCTGAGATTCCAGATTTTTCTGAAAAACCTGTTTAGATGACAATTTGTCATTTTTTCCCCCTCAGTTATTATTATTATCGCATTGTCTTTTAGATGCCGATCTGAAGACAAAGTTTTCATCTTTCTAAGCGGACTGTTTGCATCTGTGATTCCTCTCTTCTCGTTTACCTGATACCAGGCGCTGAGTTGGACCATTGTAACCGTGACTCATCTGTTGCTACATATCCCAGTGTTAAGCCCTTTAGCCCTTAGCCGCCGAATGCAACAAATAGGTGAAAGGGTTGTTATCCTTTAAAGGACAAATTGGAGAAAGGGAGGAAGGTTGGGGGGGGGAAAAAAAAAAAAAAAAAAAAAAAACAAGCAGAATCAGCTCTGCTTACTCTACAAGTTCAAATCTGGGTCTATGCACAGGCTGTGTGTGAGTGTGAGTGTGTGAGTTCTGTGAGGTCAAATGTTTGACTGCCGTTCCAGTCACAAACAAACAACAAAAAAAAAGGGGGGGGGGGTGCAGACTGTTCACGTTTGGTATGTTAATTTATATCTCCTTTTTATTTGGGCTCGTCTCAAGGTTCTTGTTTGGGTTTCGGGTGGGGCGGGGAGCAATGTTGCAAAAAAACACACAAAAAAAAAAGGTTTCGAAAAAGAATTTTTACGGATGGAAGCGGAGGCCACAGACACTTCTCGTTTCGTCCGGCCGGTTGAGGGAAAAAAAAGTAAATAAATAAAATTTCCGAAGAAAATGTTTATTTAGCTAAAGATTGGAAATATATAATATGAACGGAATTCTATGTTTGCATACTTTTTATGCTATTTTCGTATAGGGTTCACACTAATGATAAAATCAGAAAGGAATCTCAAGTGCTTTTTACTACGGTGTAACTTATTTGTGTTGATTTGATTTTTACCACCTGTGTTTTTAGTAATGATTTATGGAAGCACTGTATATTAAAGGTTCAAAACATTCTCCGAGCGGCTGCGTTTGTTTCTGCTCTCTTCTTGCACAGAACGATGACGGCTACGAAACGAAACGGTGATCAGTGGCATGTTCACCCTTTTCAGTGAAATCCGGTTTAATAAAACACCAATTCACCAACTAGGAGAAAATTCATTATTCATAATTTAATAACACAAGTAATTTTCTCCCTTAATCTTCTCCATTCTCTCTGTTTGTGTCTACTCCATGTTTTTTTTTTTTTTTTTTTTTTTTTTTTAGAGGGGGAAGGGGTTTTTTTGGTAAAAATT